ATTCAGAGTATGAATCATTAACCACTACTCTCTGAATACGATCTTCTAGCCAGTTTTCTACCCATTTACATACAGATTTTTCCAAGCCCGTAGACTTTACCTTACACATTAGCCGTGTGTGGGGAACTGTGTCAAACGCCTTTGCAAATCCAAGTATACCACGTCTACCGCCACTCATCTGTCCAAGGTTTTGCTCACCTCTCATAAAAAGAAATCAGATTTGTTTGACAACTTCTGTCTTTCATGAATCCATGCTGTCTGTTGCTTAAAATATTTTTCCAGCAAGAACTCATCTATGTGGTCTTTTATTAAACTCTCCAGTATCTTCCCAACTATAGAAGTTAAACTAACAGGTCTGTAATTACTTGGTAAAGATTTTGACCCCTTATTAAATATTGGCACCACATTGGCCTTACGCCAATCCAGTGGTACTATGCCAGTCATTAAAGAGTCCCTAAAAATTAGAAACAATGGCTTTGAAATGACAGAGCTCAATTCTTTAAGGACTCGTGGGTGTATGCCATCCGGTCCAGGTGCTTTATTCACCTTTATACTGTCTAAATATTTTTGGATCATATCAATTGTGAGCCAATGTGGATCATCTGGAGCTGTGTCAATACCATGCCATTATGGACAAGAGCTCCCCCTTGCTCCTTTGTATACACAGAGCTGAAGAAGCTATTAAATAAATTTGCCTTCTCTTTGTCCCCAGTCACCCACTCTAGATTATGTTGTAAAGGGACTACGCGAGGGTTATTCTTGGTGGAAGATTCAAAGATTCCATTATTTTAGAGGCGATAACGAAGGAAAATGCGTCCCCCAAAATGTTGTAATCTGTGCAAGCTGAGTCTTTCTGTTTACTAAAACTCAAAAGGAATGAGTCATTGTTATGGAGCACAAGGTTTTACAATCAGTGGTACTGCCTCACTGCTCATTATCTCTGGACTAGGCTCATTAACATCATAGAAACCCTGCTGGAGACCTCTCTTTTCTTCAGATGTTTAAATGTCAATTCTTTAGTTGATCCCAATGAAATGTAATTGTCCCTTTCCCTATCTGTTGCTTTAACAGTGCTGAAATGCCGCCCCCTACTGTGCATGTTAGATAACTACACTAGGAACAGTGTTGAGCTGAGTAGACCAGGGAAAAGAACTGACCTTTAATAGGGGTCAATTGTGACCCATAAAAAGGCACAGCACATCTCTAGTGTGAAATTTCATATAATTTAAACAGTCACGGCAAGGAGATGCTCAAGCGTTAAATTACCAGAGATGGCTGTTTATTAGGAAACCGATCGTGGCGTTACACATACAGTGGAAAATATCTGCACTATTTAAGGGTTGACATATGCGCTGTTTGGGGAGCCTTGTCAGAATCTGCAGCAGGACAACATCTTCTGCAACACCTAAAAGGAGGACGCTTAAAGGGAAAGGAGAGTTTATGGGTCAGCTTTAAAGACTGAGCTTATTTTCATAGTTTAACTCTTTTCAGTTATTAAAGACTTCCATTTAATTCAGTTATTTACTAATTCAAATAATTACACATATTTTAAATATAAGCTCAGTATGTAGTTGCAATCCACTAACAAACATTCTTCAAATTAGAATCCTCCCACCTGCAGGTCAAACAGTCACCCTCATGGGGAACCTCACATCATAAAGGTCTGTACCCAAGTAAAGCGAGTCCCCCACACAGTTCATATTGGACTTCTCAGACTTTTTGTAATAATGCCGTGTGTTACTAAACCCACAACAGTAAAATCAGTCTGTATATGCAGTAAAACATGGTTGTTATACTCACTGTGGAACCTAAGGAGTTAAGTCTAATTGCTGGAGGAGAGCAGGCTGAATTCGCAGCTAGAGAACTGGCCATGATGTGCTCAGTATGTCAGTTTTTAATAGGAAAGCAGAGGGACTGGCAGGACCATCAGGGATTTCACACAAAGTAAGCAATAAAAAGAGAACAGGATACTTTTTCATGCATGGTACAGCAGGCACCAGGGGCGGACTGACAACTCATGGGGCCCCTGGGCAATAGGGGATCATGGGGCCCCTGTGTCCTTGCCCAAACTCAAAAAAGTCTATGAAAAAGGTACCAGGGGCATCTCATGGGGCCCCCTAGTGACCCCAGGCCCTCGGGCAGTGCCCTAGTTTCCAAATGGTCAGTCCGCCCCTGGCAGGCACGTATCAGGAATATGACATGCTGGTTTTACATACTCTTTAACCCCATGTGTTTTGCCCAATTGAATTTCTGCAGTGACAGACCCTGAAGAAGCCCCGTTGGTTGAAATGTATTGGTTCTTTTCAGGCATTTATACTTTTATATACTATTTCTAGAACAAAATTGTGTGTGTATGTATGTATATATATATATATATATATATATATATGTAGCACCGTCTAGTGTGCTACATAGGTGAATTTAGTGTGTATGATTCCTGGTAACTGAGGATGTAATTAGGTTTGGTTATTGCAGGTCAGGATGCATGGCTTAACAAGCTGGGATCCTATCCCCCCACTTGGTTCTGAAGCACCATGGAACCTTCCAGAAACCAGTAGGCGGAAAGGAGTGGGCATGGATGTTGAATTTGTATCGCCTGATGCCCAAGACATGTAGTACCGGGCATCGGGCAGGTAGCTGATAGGCAGTAATGATGGGCACTGATAGGCGGCACTGATGGGCACTGAGGAGGTGGCATGGATAGGAAGCACTGATGGGCACTGATGAGGTGGCATGGATAGGCAGCACTTATGGGTGGCACTGACGAGGCATCACTGATGATGCTGCACTGATATGCAGCAATGACACTGCTGGGCAGCACTGATGGGTGGCACTCCTAAGCACAGGTGGGTGGCACTGATGGACACTGATGGGCACAGGTGGGTGGCACTGCTTGGAAGTTGTGGCTGGCACTGCTGGGCACTGATGGGGGGCACTGATCATTAGGGCACTAATGATCAGTGCCCTGATGATCAGTGTCAATCTGTTCTCTGACAATTGCCGGTTATCGGCAGTATTTTCCTCACGCTGTGATAGCGTGAGGAAAGTGCAGCCAATAACCGGCAATTGGACATTGTCATTGGACACAACTGATCATGTAGTAAAAGGCCGCTGTGATTGGCCTTTTACCACATCACGTGATCAGCTGTGTCCGTAGGACACAGCAATCAAGGGAATTTTTTGGGTGCATGCTGCTGGGGGCACACGGGAGGGTGCATTCTGGGAGGACGTCATATGAAGCCCTCCCAGAACTGGACAACCACACTGTAGCCAAGTGGTTTAAACCCTTAGACATTCCTAACAGCATCTCAGATTTAAATACAGTTTTGGTTAAAATTTATTAATTTTTTTTTATCAGGACAAGCAGATTGTCATGAGGGACAAGTAAATTGGGACACCGATTTAGTCCCTGGACAAGTAGTTTTTTTAAAACATTTCCACAGCCCTTGGTGGGATTCAAACCAATCCCAGGTTTAGAGGCCCTGGTAGAGTGGTGAGACCAACCTATCAATATGGGAAAGTCAGGCTGGCAGGGGAGTGCTGAGGAGACTGTCAATTAGCTGGTAGTGGTCCCCTAGATCTGGAGGGGGGTTCCTCTAGGTTGGCTCAAGAAGATCCCTTCAGCATCACAGTATGAACAAGATCAAGTGGAAGCAAGGAGGGCAGAGTGAGTACATCAGCACACCCTGGGATTTGCAAGGGGCGAGTCTGCCACATGTAGCAAGCTATTAAAGGACCTCTCTGTGCTTAATCCTTGTCCTGGGAGAACTTCAGAGCAACCAGGAGGGCTGGTAGTGTCTGCAGGCTGTGGGGCTGGGAGCAGTTCTACAGGGGAGAAGAGATACTTCTGTATGTAGTTTGCAACAAACTAAGCTAACTTTCAGAGGGGCTGAGAGCTCCTCGCCCATAAGGGGCAGTTGATACCGATCTGCAAAGACTGCCGGCTTTCAAAGAGAACGGTCCAGGATCCGTTTCTGTAAATAGGGAGGAAGTTGTCCCCATGCATTGATTCAGTCAAGTTGGGCATCCCTTAGTCCCTACTACTCTATCCAAGTTACATCTGCTAATAAAATAACAAAAACCAAGCTCATGGACTGTTCCCTGACTGTGGTTGCAAGCGTGGAAAATGCATGTTGCCTGGCTGTGCGAAACTTAGAGGGATCATGAAACACAGTGGCCCTCGAGAGGGTAGCGGTACATCAATAGTACATATGCAGTATATTTAAAATCGTAAAAATACTGTACCTGTTATAACCATACATATTTTTTTGTACAATCTTCTTTAGATTTACAAAAACTATAATATGAGGACCTACCTAAACTCCCCAATCAATTTGTATCCAATCAGGTAGGGTCCGTGCACTATATAGTTGTTGGCAGGGGCGGACTGACAACTCATGGGGCCCCCGGGCAATAGGGGATCATGGGGCCCATGTGTGCTTGCCCAAAATCCAAAAAGCCTATGAAAAAGGTACCAGGGGCATCTCATGGGGCCCTCTACTGACCCTGGGCCCTCGGGCAGTGCCCGAGTTTCCAAATGGTCAGTCCACCCCTGGTTGTTGGTAGATCTAAAGAAGAAATTAAAGGGACTCAAGGTTGCCTGTCAATAGTTACAGCAGTCACCGTTCAGGCTGTTCACAAAGCAAGTTCTGATGTCAGAATGTAGTGTTTGCACAGGTATCATGTATAGTAATAGCAGTAGGTGTTTCTTAGAAGGACAGTATATTTTCATATATTAATAATTCTAAGAATGTGACAGTCCCACCTTCTTGCTTGGTGTGTGGCCAACATAGTATTCTTATGGCAATGGAAGACGATGTGACTCAATCACAGTGGTTAATGAGATAATTACACACAATTAGTAATGTGTCATACAGGAGATCATACAGATAATAAGGATGAATCATATCAGACTCCAATAATAGGCTCCTTTTCAACACTCGGGTGAATGCTTGTGTCCTTCCACTGTGGGGTAAAGGTATGGCGGTATTTTATGAAAATAATACACAACCAGGGGCGGACTGACCATTTGGAAACTTGGGCACTGCCCGAGGGCCCGGGGTCAGTAGGGGGCCCCATGAGATGCCCCTGGTACCTTTTTCATAGGCTTTTTTGAGTTTGGACAAGGACACAGGGGCCCCATGATCCCCTATTGCCCAGGGGCCCCATGAGTTGTCAGTCTGCCCCTGCACACAACTTTCCTCTAACTGGCTAACCATTTTTATTGTTTTTTTTATTACTCTTTTATTCCTGATCTGTTCCTTTTGACCTTGTTTTATTTTATTCTCTTCTGCTATAGCCCAATAATTTTATTCATTGATATACTGTGGTTCCATCGTCTCTTGTGGCACTTCAGAAAGCAATTGATCAGTGGTTCCATAATTGCAGCCTGCACCCCTTCAGTCGCCTTTAACAGGTCATTGAAGCACTATTCCCCCCACACTGACATCAACTATGGGGCACTATTTCTCCCACTAACACCAGCAATGGGGCACTATTCCTCCCACTGACACCAACAATGGGGCACTATTCTTCCCACTGACATCAATAATGGGACACTATTCCTTCCACTGGAATCTACCATGGGGCAATATTCCTCCCACTGATACCAACTATGGGGCACTATTCCTCCCACTAGAACCAACAACGGGGCACTATTCCTCTGACTGACACCAACGATGGGGCACTATTCCTCCTACTAACACCGACAATGGGGCACTATTCCTCCTACTAACACAGACTATGGGGCACTATTTCTCCCAATGACACCAACTGTGAGGCACTATTCCTCCCACTGACACCAATGATGGGGCACTATACCTCCCACTGACAACAACAATCGGGCACTATTCCTCCCACTGACACCAATGATGGGGCACTATTCCTCTCACTGACACTAACGATGGGGCACTATTCTTCCCATTGATACCAATGATGGGGCACTATTCCTCCCACTGACACCAATGATGGGGCACTATTCCCCCCAGTGACATCAATGATGGGGACACTATTCCTTCCACTGGAATCAACGATGGGGCACTATTCCTCCCACTGGCACCAACGACGGGGCACTATTCCTTCCACTGACATCAACAATGGGGCACTATTCCTTCCACTGACATCAACAATGGGGCACTATTCCTCCCACTAATATCATTGATGGGGCACTATTCCTCCTACTGATGACAATAATGGGGCACTATTCCTCCCACTGATACTAACTATGGGGCACTATTCCTCCCACTAGTCCCAACATTGGAACACTATTCCTCCCACTAACACCGACAATGGTGCATTATTCCTCCCACTGACACCAACGATGGGGCACTATTTTTCCCATTGACACCAACGATGGGGCACTATTCTTCCCATTGACACCAACGATGGGGCACTATTCTTCCCATTGACACCAACGATGGGGCACTATTCTTCCCATTGACACCAATGATGGCGCACTATTCCTCCCATTGACATCAACGATGGGGCACTATTCCTCACACTGAAACCAATGATGGGACACTATTCCTCCCACTGAAACCAACGACGGGGCTCTATTCCTTCCACTGACATCAATGATGGGGCACTTTTCCTCCGTGTGAGACAATCGATGGGGGGAACTATTCACCAACAATGGGGCACTATTCTCCCCACTAACACCAACAATGGGGCACTATTATTTACACTGACACCAGTGATGGGGCACTATTTCTCCCACTGACACCAAGTATGGCGTACTATTCCTCCCACTAACATCAACAATGGGGCACTATTCCTTCCACTAACACCAACAATGGGGCATTATTCCTTCCACTGTTACCAACAATGAGTCACTATTCCTCCCACTGACACCAACGATGGGGCACTCTGCCTCTCAAAGACACCATCGATGGGGCACAATTCCTTCCACTGTCACAATGGGGGCATTATCTACTCCCCCAGGCAACAGTCCAGCCCCCTAAGTTTTGAAGAAGAGTGATCTAGCCCTTTGTGTAGAATGTTTGAGGCCCTCTGTGGCAGAGGATAAGAAAAGAGGGTAGTATAGGTAGCACAATACATAAAAAGTTTTAAATACTGTACTAGTAAATAGAGTTTTTCAGAAGAATGTACCAATATTAAACATGAGGGAAGTGAGTCCCATCTGTACAAGCTTCCCCTCTTCTCTCTGCAAGGGTTAACTGCTCCTTTTGAGGGGGAGAGCTTTTATTTACCTGATCATTTGCTCCCTCGGCAGAAGGCACTCTCCTGTGCTCTGGTGGTGAACTGTTTATCAGCATTATATTAAATGCAGGGCTATGGACCCTGCATTGGTATTGATGTTGCCAGAACCTTAGACTGCTGGAGCATGGGAAATAAGAGGGGACCAGTCTAGCAGTGCGGAGGAGGAGTAAATTAAAATGATTGTAAAGGCTAGAGATTTTTTTTACCTTAATACATTTTCTGCATTTATGTGAAAAAACGTACAACAGAAGTGCCCTAGGACTTTCTGTGAGTGGGGATTCGTTGCCTTACCCCTGGCTTTTGTACACTCAGGGGTGAGGAAGGATGTAACACCATTCTATGGAGGGGGACTCTTCTAGTCCCATCTCCTCCCTTCTTCCCTTTTCTCATATTTCTCCTCCCTTATCCTTTCCTTTGTACTCCTCAGGTCCCCTCCCTTATCCTTTCCTTTGTACTCCTCACGTCCCCCTCCTTTCTCCTTTTTTCTCCTTTTTTCTCCTTTTCCCAACATATCTTTCTCCTCTCCTTTGCTTTAAAACATTCTGCATATCTGAAAAGTCATGCCAATGTTAAGGCAATGGTGTTCATTTACTAAAGGAAATTGACTAGTTTGCAATAGAATTTTTGCTTTGCAAGGGATATTTCCCTTAGCTTAGTAAATGGAGCTCTGCAACCAAGCAAGTTTGAGCAATGCCAAGTATGAACTCTCACAAGCTCATGGACTATCATCTTACTGGGGTATGCCTGGGCAGCTACATACCAGTATAGATAGTTAGGGATGGGACTGTGTGTACTGTGTTGCATTTTACATATCTTTCTCCTCTCCTTTGCTTTAAAACATGCAGCATATCTGAAACGTCATGCCAATGTTAAGGCAATGGTGTTCATTTACTAAAGGCAAATAGACTAGTTTGCAATAGAATTTTTGCTTTGCAAGGGATATTTCCCTTAGCTTAGTAAATGGAGCTCTGCAACCAAGCAAATTTGAGCAATGCCAAGTATGAACTCTCACCAGCTCATGGACTATCATCTTACTGAGGTATGCCTGGGCAGCTACATACCAGTATAGATAGTTAGGGATGGGACTGTGTGTACTGTGTTGCACTTTACATATCTTTCTCCTCTCCTTTGCTTTAAAACATGCAGCATATCTGAAAAGTCGTGCCAATGTTAAGGCAATGGTGTTCATTTACTAAAGGAAATTGACTAGTTTGCAATAGAATTTTTGCTTTGTAAGAGATTACAGAGTTTTTTTTTTTTTCGTTTCCTTGCATGTGGGAATTCTTTGCAAAGTGAACTTTTATAGTATTCAATAAGCTTTGGGAAAATTAACCTTGCCAAGTGAAAATTCCTATGCAAAATGAACAGCATATTTGCCTTTAGTAAATCAAGCCCAATAGTTATTGCATGCTGTATCAAGTACACCTGTTGGAAACAAGACCCCCCTCAGCCCCCAACCCCCCTTCCCCCCACCTTGAGGGACATATAACTATTTGCGTAACTCTATATTGACCCCTAGAGGTGGTGACTGTTATTACACAATCCTCACGTGCCATGGAAGGTTAACGATGTTTTTCATCTTGCAGAGCTGAGGCTCTTGTGCAATCATGTTTGTGAGATATGAAGTAATTGTCCTATGAGGTGTAGGGGAAGTGGGTAGGGGAGGAATATGGTCTGTAAACATTCTTTGAAATGTTCTTTTCTCTCCTTGTTCGTAGTGGATGACCTTTTGGCACAGATGAGTTATTGCCGTAAATCACAATGGCTCAACAAGCCATTCATTGCACAATTTCGTAGAAATATTCTTTAAAGTTGTAAACATAACAGAGCTTCAATATCATTTCAGATAAATGGCTAAAAGGAGTTGAAAAATGAAATGAAAAATGTCAGCTTTTGTTAACGTCTACAAACTATGAAGGTGAACCAGAGTTTCAAAGTTAAACTGTCATTTAAAAAAATGATACTGTACAAAGGAGGAGGTCATGGAAGGTGGGCTCTGCATGTCAGTTATGAGAGTTTCAGGGTATAAGCATCATCTTTAGGGTCATTTCCCTCATCCACTTTGAATATACCTGAAGTTCAGATGATAATGGTAATTTATTTATTTCAGGTACTTATATAGCACCGCCAATTTACACAGCACTTTACATATATATTGTACATTCATATCAGTCCCTGACCCTCAAGGGGCATACAATATAAGGTCCCCAGCTTACATTCATACATACTAGGGCCAATGTGGACAGGAATCAATTTGCCTACCAGCATGTCTTTGGAGTGTGGGAGGAAACTGGAGTACCCAGAGGAAACCCACACAGGCAGAACATGCAAACTCAAGGCAGGTGGTGCCATGGTTGGGATTTGAACCAACGACCCTAGTACTGCCAGGCGGAAGTGCTAACCATTTAGCCAGTGTGCTGCCCGTAATAATAATATATATTTTTTTTGTCACCTGAAACCTAAACCTAAACCTTTACATTTATTCTACCACTAATCTGCTAGCATTGCCATATAATGCCGGGGTCCCCAAACATTTTAAAGAAAGACCCGAACACTCTCTGTCACATTGCTTAGGGGCTTGTGGGAAGGTTTCCTACATTAGTGGCTGGCCCAGGCAGTGGAAGGGGTTAATCATTTTTGCACATTTTCCCAGGCTTTTTGCAACCCAGCCTACCTGTCCAGTGGTGCATAAATAATGGGGAATGTTTGGGTATGGAGAGTTCTGTCCCGTTCCAACTTGGCTGAAATGCTGTGACACTGTGTTCTACAGAGGGTGACTGCTGAGCCCTGCTGTCCACCCGAAGACACTGGCTTCCCAGAGAACTTTTCCTTTATGGACTATGCCATTGCATGGACTACCACATTTTAAAGGTATGCCTTGGCAGCCACAGAATAGTTAGTTCGAGATGTAATGCAGTAAGCTGTGATGTTCTTGTTATTTATTTATGTCACGGATGTTCAGTAAAGTTCATTGAACTGCTTC